TAGTAGTAGTAGTAGTAGTAGTAGTAGTAGTAGTAGTAGTAGTAGTAGTAGTAGTAGTAGTAATAGTAGTCGTAGTAGGAGTAGGAGTAGGAGTAGGAGTGGGAGTAGTAGTAGTAGTAGTAGTAGTAGTAGTAGTAGTAGTAGTAGGAGGCCATTGTTGTCGTGGTTGTAGTGGTAGTTGCAGGTGGTGAGGGCAGCAGTAGTTATGTTTTGGGCCTCCTTAGGTCAATTAGCTTGCATTTCAGTCCGTTGCAGGACCGGATGGCCAGGATTGAGCCGACCGTGCCATACCAGGCGGCCCAGTGCCAGGATGTCACTGTGATCATGTGGTAGTGGAGTAGGGAGGGTACATGGTGTTGAGCAATGGAAGACGAAGTGAAACCAGAGGGCTCCTGGCATCGCTACTAGGAACAAGAAGCTACTAGGGGCTCCTGGCCTTACTACTAGGAGCGATCGGACGCTAGTAGGAGCAAAGGGCATCGCTACTAGGAGCAAGGATGCTACTGGAAGAAAGCTCCTAGATTGCCGGTGTTCCAAACGGTTCCACGGACATCCACGAACCGAGAGCTGCAGGTGTTCCTGGTAACTTGGGTCTGATTCCAGCGTGCTTCGCGCGTCGTTTTGAGGCCACCGGCACTGCTTCGGCTCCGATTGCTGCGACCTGATGATATGGCTAAACCAATGGATTTTCAAGCAGCAATCAGCAATGAAGGTCAATTTCAGAAGTTACAGAAGTTTCGCTTCACATCCCAAGACACTCTTGAAAGGTGCTTGAAAAAAGGAAGAAAGAAAACAAAAAGGGAAGGGCCCCACCCTACTTTTCACGAAAGGTAGCTTGAGCTACCTGAGTTCTCCTTGCTTTAGCAAAAATGTATTGCAATCAGGAGTTGGGATTGTGCATTGAATTTGGTCCTGTAAGAGTTGATTCTGTTCGTCGGGGGGGGGCCCCCCCTCCCTGGATCAAATCCCCCCTGCGCCGGTTCACGCCGTCATGGACTTCTACCAGGGTTACTTGTGATTGCCTGCTACCTTTCGTTCACCCCCTCCTCTCTCAAGTTTCCATATCCTTCTTCCATGACGCTAACCACCTCTGCCTGATGTGATGTTGGTTGTTTTTGTTTCGGGATCCAATTCCCACTTTGCCGTCCGAGGTGGGGAGAAGCCCGCGACAGTCCAGAGGCTCACAAAACCTTTTGATTTTTGCAGGGTACTCTTTACTCTAGACAACCAGTTGAACTTTAACTTTTGAACCCAGGTGGGACCACCACTTACATGATATTTTTGTTGATTCATTTTCGTGTTTTCTGGAGTGTTTTGCCCAAACTATGCTTAGGGATTGATTGGGGGATCACTCCTAAGATTGATGTGAGGGATAAACTCCCAAGATCGATGTGAATGATTGACATCGAACGCCGGCCCAATGGTAGTCCGTCAGGCGCTCGGATGAACCTATATATATAATATACATAAGAATACATTAGACAATATTAGACCGTCTTTTACTTCGAGAAAAAACACTATATTTGTTGCTATACCGTTGGTCATGTACGGTGCGTCCAACATTTTCTTTGCAGACCATCTTGGCCGAAGGCAGACTCAGACTACCATGGTAGGTGAACACCTCCAAAGAACCCCGAGTATCCCCTCTCTTCATCTCCTGTTGTTCACCAGTCGATAGTTGTGATGCTGACCACACACGATTCTTCCGTCATATGCATGTCTGGTCTTTGATACACGCACGAGAAGCCGATAGATGCTGGAATGATGCACGAGTCAACTCAAAGAGTTCCCCTGGCTGCCTGCACTCTCTGAGACCACACACACATGCAGACAAATAAACGCACAGCTCTGAGATACTGCAGAGCCACACATTTTGCCATGTCCACTCAAGTCTTGGAATGTGGCGGTGTTGTTACGCCTGAAGCTCAGAGAGAATCTTCGCCGTTCAATTCCGCTTTGGGCTGGTGTTGGATGGATCTCATGTGAGTGCGATGTACATGGACCGTGACCAGAGGTATTCCTTACAGTAGGCCTTGGAACTAAAAAGATCCTACCAGTTCAGGCCTATAGATCTACTGATCTACGCTCCCTCTACACTCCTCATCACCTCATCCAAATGACTTCGTCTCTTCCAGTTCCGATCAATTGTCAATGGCAGGTGTTGCTTTCTCAAACAAGCCGCGCTTGGTCATCCGTCCCCTGCCCCCTTGGCAGGCCTGACCCACCAGCGGCTGAGGTACCAGATCCTATGTGGTCGAGAGATTGCGAGACAGGATCGGTTTGCCATACAGATGGCCAACTACTGCTATTTGGCCGGTGGCCTCAGATTCATGATCCGAGACAATCAGGATCCAACGGTGTACCCCAAAAAGAGAGAGAGCCTGACATTGTGCGCAACAATTTGTAAAACATTTCCTACACCAATTGTTTCTGAGGGTCACAAGTAAGAAAGGCTGGCTTGCATCCTTAGAAAATCAATGGAGAACTAAACATGACTCAACACTCGACTGGGTTTTTTCGGTCGGTGAACACCGATGCACCGGTCCAGGTGGTGAACACCTTGGACCACACGGCCATTGCAGTGGACGCCGCCTGGGACGTGCAGGGCCTCTATGATTTGGCCGCTGAGCTGGGTGCGCGGTCCCCAAGCGGCGAGGTGAGAGCGGAGCGGAGCGTCCAAGGAGGACAGGACGTTGGATGTTTTCTTGGTGGATCAACATGGACCTAATAGCTGGCATCCATTGGCCAATCGTTTTTTTGGTGCTTCTGAAGTTGCCATTTCTGAAACCTGGTGATTTTGGGGTTCGCTTTCGATAGGTGTGACAGCCTATGGGGATACTGGTGATCTATGCTGATACTTACGGGCAAGACCATGGTCTCCTACCGATGGGGAGAGAGGAGATGACACCTGCTGGTTCCCTTCGAGTTCCCCCCCTGCGTTGTTCATGGAATGACTTTACTTGTACTTGTATTGTATAGTGCGTCGCAGTTGCGAGTGCAAGGCCCTACTGCAGGGGTTCATACACTCTACTGACTCTACTGTATTTCAATTGTGAGGTTGGCCATTCACGCAAGATGGGAATGACTTCCACATCTCTGCACAACACAGGAAGGAGCAACCACCGTGCCCAGAAACAGCACTGGATTTGCTGGAACCCAGCAAATCGGTACCAGGGATATCTTGACCAGGTGGGATTGGAGGTCAAGAAGCATTGCATGAAACGCTATGGATGGACTACAACCTCATCCCATGTCATTCTCCGACTCCGATGGTAAGGTGAAGATCCTGGGCTGTGTCTGGTGCCCAGTCATTGGAATCCAAACCGTTCACCAACCCAAGCGATTTGCAATCTAGGAAGGAAGAGGTTTGAGCTTAAAACCATCCCCAGACATCCGGGGGTTTGACCTCTTCGAAGCCTTGGGCTACGAGCCGCCATTTTGCAAGGCACATCGTCACATTGTTTTGTAGCCATGTCAGTTTTCAGTCTGGATCTAAAGTATCCATACGTGATGTAAGATGTATGTAGTGCATATACTGTATATCTACATCATATAATATATGATGTATACAGCACATTATACCCTTGCATCTCTTGTTCCCTACGGGGTACGCAGCACATTAACATCGCATGATCTTTGGAGGTAGGAGTTGCAAGGTGTTCAGAAACCCACACGTACACTGGGGGAGTACACAGAGACATGTTTGAGACCGTTCCTCTCCAGTTCGACCATTTGATCACCGATGAGGTCTACACACATTTTCACTTCGATCACTGTGGGGGCGATGTGCATCCTATGCTGCTTGGCCAAATCAAGATTGCATCCAATGCCTGACAGATCTCGAAGGGCTTGAATGGTTGATAACTTGGGCTTTGAATGGTTTGACCGAGTATAGATGCCCCCCCCTGCCCTCCACCTCAGATGGTCTTCTCGAGACCACCCGGCAGAGAGAGTTGGCTGATCTAGATATCCACGCTGCAACAGCTGTTCGTGATCCCGATGCTGCACGATGCCCAAGGTTCACCGGCGGCCAAAAGGCGCCTGCATGAGCCGCACGCGCCGGCGCGCGGAGGGCGCGATGTGGCAGGTGAAGCTGCCTGGCGCCAAAGAGGTGGAGGAAGCTGGTGGTAAGATCTGGGCTGGCAAGGCTGGGGGGTTCCAGGGAAATTTCGCTGGTCGGGAGCACACGTCACAGAGGTTGAGGGGTCCTCGGTTGTTGTGATCAGGGGTTTAGGTGCAAGGATTTGCAGAGGGATGGTTCAGAGTTTGCACGACAGTTTTTTTCTGATGGCACTGTATCCTTCCGTCCAGGAAGATGCTGATGCCATTCAGAAGCAGTGCTCGCTGAAAGAGGCTGAAGATGAGAGTCGTTCTTTGAACTGCACTCTTTTGCTTTGCCATTCCTGTTGAAATGGATGTGAATAACCTAATAGGGATACAATAGCTGAATAGTCAGAAAAGATTGAAGCCGTGCGCAATGACACAGGTGCTTCCCATGCGGGATGGAGATGCTTCGGGCTCAGTCATGATGACCAATCCACTTGCTGCACCTCAACGCGTGCCCAGGTGATTCCTTGTGGAGATCTTCTACTCCACATCATTCGGACACCTGGACACACTCCAGGCCAACGGAGCACATCTCCAAATCAAAGGACTGTGTTATTTCATGCTGTGTGGAGAGCCCAGTTCTATGTTTGTCCAGGGTTTTCCACCACTGACCAGTTAACTCCCTTGTCCAAAGATCACTAGAACTTACACACACAACACCTAGAAACCACTTCTGCGGCACCGAGCCCCTTTGCCAAGCTGACAGGCTCCATTTGCGTCTTTGCGGCGCCACGGTGTTTATCTCCTCGCGCAGAGCCGCACGGCTGGATGAAATCATGGAGGTCCACCTGTGACCTCCTTTTGCTGGGAAATCGTTGATTTCAAAGCATTTACATAATATGTATCTTTATCTTTATACAGATCATACTATTTGTAGATTCATTCTTCTGCCAAAGTGTTTGATTCGAACACTAGGCATCGACCCTTGTGCTTTCATCGGCCCTTTGCGTCCCAGGATGGCTGAATCTCGTCTCAAGGAGGCCCGCAGCAAGGCGGAGGCCGAACATTGCCCAAAGAACAGTGGACAGCATCAAGCAGTGGACACCTGTGGTCCAAAAGTATCGCAAAAAGCATCCAAAAGCAAATTATAACGTTTATAAAGGTCTTGGATGAATTCTTCACCCCCTTCGAAGTCTGCAAGGATGCCGTTGACTTCAATAGTCTGGAAGGATGACATTTGCACCGCAGACAGATGCGACAGCGCCATGTGATCGAGCGAGGAAAGAAGCGGATCGTTCCACGGTCGGTCAACCCCTAGCACTCCTGTAACATCCTGTAACTTCTCTGCACCCAAGTCAACGTGGCGAAGATGTTTGCACATGTTGCAACAAAACCATGAGGATAATGATGGAAACATTGATAAACACAGATGAATCTTGAGACTGGAGAGAATGCTTCGCCAGGCTGGTCTCCTTATCACTGGGGACACGCTCTTCGTGGGATCTTGTGGTCGTACCGACCTGCCAGGTCGGGGGAGCATCTCCATCATCCCTCCCTTCCCGGTGTTTTGGAGTATGTGAACATGTGAACACCTGTAAAACACGGGTAAAAACACACACCCTAATTGGCCAACTCCGACTCCGAGTCGAGGTTTTACAACACCCTAGCTATTTTGATGATACACTGTGCTCAGATGTTTTTTCGTTCGTACATGTTTGTGCGTTGTTACGTGTCTCGTTTTGGTGAATTGTAGTATGCCTGAAGTCAGATGCGATGGTTTCCAGAGGTCAGTCCATTCGCAAGGAGAGTTGTGATGGATTGGGGCCCACGTCAGATCAGGAGTATTCAACAAACCATGGCTTTTCGCGGGTTCTCCAAAAGCGGCATTTTTGCTTTCAAAAAACAAATCAAAGCACACTTCTTGCGTTTGTGGGTCGAAGTAGTCGGGCAGGGGGGGGGGGGCCTTGAAAAAATGGTGCACTGTTTTTCCAGGTTTGGTCCAGATCACTCAACCCCACGTAGGAGATGCTCCCATGGGTGTGCTCAGGGCACCATTTGTTCACCGGGTGCGTTGGGTCCGCGTCACCACCCAGCCCACCACCGCGTTGCCCATATTGGCACACTTATTCGGTGGCACAGTGGATTGATCAAGGGAATTCATGAGCTGAGGAGTCTCGGGTCTCGAGTCGTCACCAAGATACGAAAATAAGCCTGAGGAAGAATCCCAACACCTTATTGTATTGTGTATTTTAAAGCTACATCACAAACAATCCAAATGATGATGATGATGATGATGATGATGATGATGATGATGATGATGATGATGATGATGATGATGATGATGATGATGATGATGATGATGATGATGCATAGCCTAACTGAACAGCTTACCAGTCACCATCTTTCATTTCCCTTGAAAAAAGCTAGTTTCCGACGGGTTGCCCTTTCCCCTGCGTGGGGCTAGATTGCAGCTATGGTACTGTAGTACTGGTACGGCGTAGGAGGTCATATTGAATCTTTGCAGCTCTTGTAGGACTGTCGCGCGCCGAAGCCTGTTCCACTTTGGATGACAAACCTGCATGCAGGGAAACCTCCAAAGTGCGCTTTGATTTTTGTAAGCAATGCAAAATGTAGGCAAAAACGGCGAGCCCGGCTTTTCGGGCCAAAGGTTTTTCGAAGGTGCCCAGGGCTTCTCGTCCAGGCTCTGACCCGCGAGACATGTTCAGCTCCTTGGCAAGGCTGGTGGTTCTGACCTTGTCGTCGGTTTCCCGGTTGGTTCACGTGGATGTGGAGCGTGCACGCGATTCAAGGCGTTACACACACACACACACTCTGTTTGTCTCTCTCTCTTTCTCTCTCTTTCTCTGTCGTTTATTTTTCTTGTCCTCCCCATCCTTACATTTGTTTGTTTGTCTGTCTCTCTGTGCCAGTCTTTGTGCTACATTTCTCTACAAATCAGGGTTTTGTTCGGCAGATTCCTGAACAACAGCGTATACAAGTCTGCAGACCGCCATGATGATTTCTCCATTACATTTTCAGGTCAGAGCAGACGATTGACAGATTGACATGTTGAGTCGTGGCAAGAAAAACCGGCTGCGGGGCAGGCTTAGCACCATGAACCCTGCTGTGGTGGTTTGTCCAGGCTGGCAGCAGTTAATGACCAAATTTTAAGTGCCATTGCAGGCCCTTGACCACAACAATCTTTGCCATTTGCACATAGTATGAGCCACCAGATCAAGGATGATGTGAGCGATGAACCATTACCCACTTTGTTCACAAGAGTCGAGTTTCTGCTAGGCCACAACTATGCCGAGGAACCCTTCTCCACCATCGGGGCCGAGCGTGTAGCCAACCCCAGTTTCGGATCGGGCCGCTTCCAAACTGTGCAGTTCCACCAAAGTGCGTTCATGTTCTCTCAGACGAGCACTCATTGGCACTCGCATGGGTGAAGGTTCTTTTTGCGTTCTTGTTCTTCCATCTCTTCCCTGAGCACCGCAGTTCTCCCTCCTGTTCTTGCAGATTCGAACATATTGAAAGGCTCCCTCTCATTTTTCTTTTCAATGCGAGCTTGATGAACAGCTTGTTTGTTCAGTGATGTTCAGCGGCGCCTTGCTTCCGTTGCGAGGCGCAGAATGAGATGGTGAAGATGGGCCTCTCCCACTTTCCCGAGCCGCCGGGGCCCACAACGGTATATTTGGTCCTTGTTCGTGCGCTGTTTCTGAAGCAGCGGCATGTTTGGGCTCCCCAGGCCACCGGTGCCTCCCTGCGCAATGCTGGGGTGCTCAGATGTGGCCGCTCCGGTGGTCTGTGGTCAGTCGTCAGACTGAGCCTTAGGCTGAGCCTCAGGTGCGTGGCTCAGAACACTTTGATACCTTTTCTAGACCGTGGCTCAGACATGTCTCCCATCCAAGAAGGGGTGTTTGTCTATGTGCGCTTTCTACCACAGGCTCTGGGTTCTATTTAGGTTGTCAAATTTGATCTTAGTGAAGCGCTGACATGTTTTCTTGGACCATGTGTGGTGGAAATATAGATGGAAATACCAACTACTGCACGGCAATAGATTGATCTTATAATCTCAACCACGCAAACAAAAGTCATGTCAAAGACCCCTTTGTTGCAACCAGAAAGCACACACTCTCTTCCATTTGATTGGTACCATGCAGGAATCACCCGTTCCACCCTCGAGCAAAGAGGGACAAGGATTCACTTCGTAGCACCTGCGAAGTCCGCGCAGTGAAATTCACGATTTGGGTTGGATGACCTCACCAGAACCGGACCGCACTGTGATGTTGATCACGTCGTTTGGAACCGGCTATTTAAGCAATGACGATATGTCCGGGATATTTGTGGGCTGTAGGGGTTCCCATGGGTTCTCTGCTTCTGCAGACTACTTTGTTACCTTGATTGGAGGGATTCCATGCAGGGCAGTTTCTCATATCATTATGATGAATTAAATTCAACGTCTTTTTCTCCTTCCATCTTCCTTGATCTCCATTGCTTTTTGTAACCGCACCATGTGCAACACCTCCTCTCACCGCCCACCGAGCTGCCTCGCACAGGTGTGGTACCGGACAGCCCTGCGGGCCCAAGGGCTTCCGAATCGGCCGCCGTGCGCGGATCGTGAAGCTCACCTCCGAGCAGGGCCAGGCACCGGTTGGCCGGGGGCATGTGGACCTGTTTGGGTAAGGAGTGAAGGGCCATGAAGGGACCCTTATTAAAAGAAACGTTTTGGACATATATTTGATCATTTTGATCTACTTATAGGTTTGGGACGCCTATAGAAGGTGAGGATTGAGACATGGATTTTATTCATTTGAGTTGGAAGTTGAATGAAGTCAATTCGTAGCATGTAGCCATATAGCCTAGCCATACAGCAGCACCCTACAGTGAGGAGGCACCAACAGAAAAGGCATTGGGCATTGTGCTGGATTACATTTTAATTCTATTTATATATATTTATTGTTTCTAATAGCTTCTTGTTACTAGTAGTTAGTAAGGCCAGGAGGCCCCTAGTAGCTTCTTGTCATTTCTTGTCTTAATTCTAGTTATATTTATTTATTGTTTCTAATAGCTTCTTGCTCCTAGTAGTAAGGCCAGGAGCCCCTAGTAGCGTCCTTGCTCCTAGTAGCGATGCCCTTTGTTCCTAGTAGCTTCTTTGTTCCTATCCACCCTATACAGAAGTAATGTCATAGGATCTTTGCTGGATTTATCCTCAGGTCTTGAACGGCCAGGACTGTGTTGTCGAGAGCTATGCGTCTTGCTTGCATCACCAGTTACCTTCGTTGTTGTTCGGCTGGGTAGGCTTGGGTTTTGGTTTGGTCATGAGAAAAGACTTTCAAGCTGTCACGTTAGTAGCCCAGTCGAGCCAGTTGCAGTAAGATGCAGCAAGTGGGATCTTGAGAGGACCATTTTTGAGGATCTCCATAGCTGCGCATCCCCTCCATGGTTTCAGTGGCCTTTGGTTTTTTGTTTTCTTTTTCGCGGCTAAGATGGAAGAACGAGAGAGATATGCAGTTCGGTGGGCTTCTCAGCTTTGTGAAACTGGACGATTCGCTTGAAGGTACAAATCGTCCGTGGTCGATCTCCATTCTTCATGACAATGTGAGCAACCACTTTTGTTTAGGCTTTACTAAAGTAGTCAGCTCGCTCTATTTGCTTGTCTATCATCAGTATTCGCTTGTGAACGAGATAGGGCCCCCCCAAAAGCGAGATATTTTTGCTTGATGACACAAACTGAACGAGATCGTGTGATCTGCTACTAAAGTAGTCTGAACGAGATACTGTGACATGACCTCCTACTTAAGTAGTCTAAACGAGACAGATAGATAGGGCCGCCCCCACATGATAGATAAACGGTGTATAATATATTTGGGTTTAGTACCAAATAAATGCCGCCGCACATGTGATTTGGACTTAGGATGATTGATGCATCGGCGGTCAAAGTGCTGAAACCAGCAACACCCTCAGCCGTTCTCACTGCAGGATCATTCGCACTTCCTGACAGCTGAACAGAGAGGTGTTGCCCAAAGTGCAAATTGGGAACTGGGTGTGTCTCAGGATGCAGGTCTTCAGAAAGATTTATAATTTATTATGTATAATTTATGGTTTCACACACGGAGTTGTGGGGTCCATAAATGATGACACAAATCTAACTGCGCTGTGATGACGCGCAGTTCCAAGGAAAACCTGGAGAAGCCCGAGCTTGCGGAGTGAGGAAATCTGCAAAGTCAGACTTGGTTTTTCGACCACTCAGTACATAGAGATCGAATCCAGGTGACACCAGGACATGCAAAAAAGACATCATAGATTCATAGATCATAGATCTCGTTTTTTGATGTTTTTGTTGTTGTTTCACATTTCTTGTTCCTTGGCGGGTCCCCTATTCTGATCAGATGGGTCTGCGAATTTAGGACCCTTGTGCGAAACCGAGAGCACGTGCCTGCATCGTCCTGACTTTCAAGTCATAATAAAATCTGTCTTATCTCAAATTAAGTTTCCCTAAAACTCTAGGAACCAAATCATTCCGGCCCTCAGACGGGGGGAGCTTCCTTGAAGAAGCGTGAGCTATCCTGCGTCCTACCTAGAAGCTAACTTAGCCTAGTAGCTTACTCTCTTGCTTGATTACAGTAAGTAGGCGCCACTTATTTAAGTACGGAGGCAGGGCCACAGGCTAAAACAGTTATTAGCAGGGTTGCCCTAGGGCAAGCAATCAGATGAATCCAGAAAAGCCAGTGGAACGCTCAGAGTTGAAGTGGGGAACAACACAATTTGCAACGCTGTGCTAAGTAACATTGGAAAGAATAGAAGGTTTGGAGTTTGGAATCTCCAAAAATCTGTGCGGATGACTCCAGGCACTTCAGCCCTTTCTCCCGTTTCAGAGGACGGACGAATTTGCTGTTTCAGGTGGCCTTTTGTGGCACTCAAATGTCCATTTCATTGTATTCAATCAGATTAGGATGAGATGACATTGAGTGAGCTGTCAAAGGTGTCCCAGAATGGGTAAAGGCGATACCCCAGAACTGGCGGAACTGTGGTCCACATGGGTTCAAGGAGAGACTGCAGAGAAGTGTGGCGGCCTTAGCCAGACATGATTCATGCTGCTGTAGTCTCAGCATTATGGGGCTGAGATCAAGATTGCTTCTAGTGAAAGAAACTCACTCTAAATAGCAATCTTGCAAATCTGCAGCTTTCGTCCAATACGCACCACTGGAGCCTACTGTCATAAATTCTAAATTGAATGAGGCTGGGGCTCAGCTGCTCACTCCCAGTTTGTAATAAGAGCGCTCAAAGAACTTCATCCATTTCTCGCTTCTTTTTCTTCGGCTGAACTGTCTGAGCAGAACTGATGAGTCTCTATACGTGGGTATGGATAGAAAGTGTTGTATGTGGCAGGATTGGTGGATGAACATTCATTTGGCTACCGCAAAGCTTTGACACCTTGTGACCCATCACAACAGCTTTTGTCCACTCGTTCTGACTGCTTGCCGAGTCTCCGAAGAGAAGCGGGAGGCACGCCCGTTGTGTCAGATGATCATCCAGAGGACTTGATCGGTCTCCACCCCACCGCACGCACCTGGCCAGCCACCCAGCCACCCAGCACTTGCAGCGTGTACATCCGCACCTCATTACCTCTAGTGACTCTAGTATGCCGCCGGGTACGCGCGGTAGGGTGCACGGCAAACTTTATGAATTAGGTACAGAAAGGTGTTGTATGAAAAGATTGCAATAAAAAGACAAGCCGAGTCCCTGTCCATGCAAAACAGAGAGCCAAAAACAAGGCACCAGAGAAAACTCAACTGCATTGAAAAGAGACAACTACTACGTGAAACGGAAAGCGACGAAATAGCATGAGTACCGGCATGACATCATGGCACCGGGTATAATATACTTGGCCCTTGGCCGAGCATCTAATAGGGTGGTTGCGCACTTCGGTGCGGCACGCACTTGTCCACGATAGGTGAGCTTTCGAGGGTATGTAAGGTGGGATCACTGACCACACGATGGACCTCTTACAGGTTTGTATTCAAGTTAGCAATGCAGCATGTCATGCGATAGAATTCTTGTACATGGATGACCTATCACATGATTGGCCCAGGGCCCAGCTGTTGTGGGGTCTCCATGGGCGTTCCTATTCCAACCGATACCAATTCTTTTTCAGGAGAACATTGCCTCCTAGCAGTTTGAAGCTGTCTTGAGATGAACCTCCGGGGGGGTCTCAAAGAAATTCGATATTTCTTGGTGTTGCTAGAACGGAACTTAATTTTTTTGGGGGCAACGACGGCACTACCATCGAGCAGCCACTGCAGGCCGCACTCCGGACCTGCCACCGCTCCGGAACGACGGGAAAGGCCAGGCCAAGGCGGAAGGGCTCGATGTTGCCCCGCTCCAGTGATCAAGTCATCGCCAAAAACGAAGATTCCTCCCGTCTTGGCAGTTGGACTTGGACTGTAGCCGCCACTGTAGCTCAAGACTCAAATTTGAAGTGTTGGGGCTTTGGGAGTCAAGTCAAGAGTCATGAGGAAGGTACAATACAAAACTGGCCGATCCATCCATGGGTATCAGGCCGACGCCTGAGCTACACCCCCCCCGCGGCGCCACCCTCCAGAGGAGGCCCTCGGATGGTTGGGATGTGAAGTACCCGACGTGTTAGGTTCTTGCTGAGAGTTCGGACCGCGCTTGGCTTTCGGAAGCAGCTCTCTGGAGAACACAACCCGATGATCTTCTTTACAATACTGGGGGGTGATTGTAAGATGATAGATTAAATATAGTCTTGTAGTCAATCAAAACCTGACTGTTCTTGATTTGATTGCCAGGGTCTTGTACCATGGTCGGGAACCACTCGGTACTTGTAGCCAGTGAGAATGATGGTAGTAGTCCAACTTTACGGGCTTCAAGACCCAGCAGCGGAAGTGAAGCAACAAGCTTCATGTGTACCGTTATTCTTGGCTTTTTCATGTTGGATTTGCTTCAGCCGCTCTACCAGCAGCTGTGCACATTCTTTTTCCGGCACGACTAGATAAAACTCATGATGGCCTTGGGGCGCAAGGCCTTGGGCTGAATTAATGTAGCCAAAACATGTTCAGAGGCAACTATGACACGGCTTGACCCGCTCAGGACACTGTGGCTGGTAGTGGGAGAGGCCGCGGTTTGGAGAGACGCAGTATTAATACCTTTGCTCGTTGTGGCGCTGCAGGCTGTTCAGAATCTCATCCTTTCTTGTCAGACATTTGCCTAAACGAGCCCTGTGAATCATGATTAGCAAGCTAGTTAAGCAGCATGCAGCTCGATGATCCGGTGAGAAAGAAGCTTTATTAATGCTTGATGATCCGAATTTATGAAGACTTTGTAAAGACTCAAGACCCAAGAATTCTTCCGAACAATTTTGCTCAACTGAATCTCTCACATTTGATCAAGGGATACTACTAGGAGCAAGGACGCTACCCTTTAAAGTCCGGATCGTTTTGAGATGGGCCTGAAGTTCACCAGGTGTCTCGCCAGATGCCGTGGCAAGTGACAATGCTCGTTCACCAGGTGCGAAGCAAGTGTTGATAGCACCTCTTGATGGGGCACATTTGTGTTCCAAATGGGATCCACAGCCTTGCAACGTGGGGTTTTCATGCAGATGTTTCGAGAAACATTTGAAGCCCTTCATCCCGACATCAATGTATCGTTTTGTGGCATAGTCC